GGGGCTTTGAGGGCTGCAAGCATTGTCTCCAGTGTGTGGATGTGCAGCACAAACTCTTGTCAGGCGATTGAATTGTCGGTGTTCTTCTGCCAGGGACAAATTCTTTCGCAAGTTGTTTCTCAAAGCCGCTCGGACGCTACCTGTGCCCGTAGGTCCCTCTCTGTTCCTGCCGGCGGCTCTTCATCATGGCCTTGTACTCGCCCACCCGCAGCCGCCGTCCCTCCACTATGCAGGTCCGTTTGGGTCGGGGTTTGTATTTGTAATCGGGGTAGCGCTCCAGATGCTGCCTGCTCAGCCTCGCCTGCTCTTCGTAGTAAGGCTGCTTCTCCTGGTTAGACATGGCCTTCCACCGCGAGCCTACAGACAAAGACGCATCAACACAAAGGAGTGAGTTCATGTTCTCCAGCAGCAGAAGCTGTCATGGCTCGCCATGTTTCATTTCTTGTGGGGTTTTTGAAGCATTTGTCCCGTGTTTTATGTGCCACTCTGCCTGCATCTACATGTTGTCTTACGTTGGTAATTATCTTTCCTTGCACACCTTTTGTTATTTTACTTCCTTTTTGTCTCCCCTCCTTTGTAATCATCAGCCCTGCCCTCATTGTCCCACCTGTTCCCAATTAGATCCCTGTTTATTTATCCCGTCTCTCCTTCAGTCTTTTTGTCACTCTTTCAGTTTTTCCATCTGTTTACTCTCCTGGATTCCCGTTTCTCGATTAACCCAACCTTGGAGTTTTCTTCCCCCTCATTGTTCTCTGCTGTAAGTTTAAGTAAGCTGCTGAAAGCTTGCCCTTTTGTTTGGTATCCTGTTTGCATTGTCCTGCATTCGGATCCTCCTTTTGTTAATCCATTAACAGAATGGTTATGCAAGAGAGGAAGCTTAAAATGCTTGTCGGGCACACGTGGTTTCACTTTTGTTCTCACTCATTCAGATTTTGACAAAAAGTTTCAAGCAGATTTTATTCATTTTTTATGCACCTTTAAACGTCCATCAAAATTCACTTATCTTAGATGCTAGCTCTTTTCCTATTTGAGTCTTCCCAAGGACGCTGCTACGGTGTTAACATCAAAATATAACCAAAAAGAGGCTGCAGTAACCCTCCTTCTGGATATTAGCAAAAATATCTTTTAATTATGAGGTTTAGTTATCGGGGGTTTTACAGTCCTACCTAAAAACAGCAATTTTCTTTTTTGGTTCGTCACAGCGGGGACATTAGTGCCACTATAAAGTCTTTCTTAAGAAGAGAAAGTAAAATTGGCGAAAGATTCAGGCCGTTAATTCTGGTACCTCTGCAGTCTAATTCATCACTGGTGATGAGCCCAACACTAACATCAGACAACCAGAATGTGTCATTTTTGCCTTTATTACTTTATTCTCCCAATTATTGGCAATAAGGTGAAAAAGAAATTTACTCTAACTGACACGTTCACATTTTTGGGCCATCGCCCAAAGTAAAGGGTTAGTCTATGCTGATGACCTAGACTCAGACGTCATACACGTGTTCCTTTACATTTTGGAAAGTTTCTTTATCACTGCATTTACTGGTAAATCGCAAAGGATTAGCTCAAGACTGAAGAAAACCTAAAAAGCTGCTGATTCCAAAGAATCTCATCTTTCCTTTCTAACCCTTCTTTCACTTCATTTCTAAAAATATGCGTTTGTGTTCAGACTCGACTTAGTCATGCCCCTAATTTTTAACACTGAAAGTTCTTGTTAAAATACTCCGAGTCTCTCTTTACAGAGAACATAAATGAAATTGTAGTGAATGGAAACTGCACTGATGCTGCCCTCAAAAAGATCACACATCTAAATCTCATGATATGCAAAGCCCCGTTTCTTCGTGTTTTCTTTCCCGTTTCATTTTTTAATCACGCTCTCTCACATTCACTGATCTAAAGCGCCTTAAGGCGACTTTTGTTGTGATTTGGCGCTATACAAAATAAAATTGAATTGAATCTGACTGGTTAAAGCTAACTCATAGTACATGGTGATAGGCAGAATTACCTATTAGCTTTCCATATGGTTCTGTGCCACAAACTACCTGATGCTTGCATAAAGGTTATTCAAAAGCAAACACTTTGAAATAATTCAAGGTCAAAAAGCAGGATGTTTAGGGTTGTGGGCAAAACTATGTTTTTTGCATTGAAAGATAAGTATTAGGCAAGTAATCAGTACTGTGTATTTAAGCAAATTAGTGGTTTACATGTGTGTCTCTGTGAAAGATAGACACACAAACTCTCTACAATACAAAGGAATGTAAATGTTTGTTTGAGGGAAAGGGATTCATGCCCCCGTGTGTGTGTGTGTGTGTGTGGTTGAAGAAGCAGGTGGGTCTTTACTGCCTCACATGTGCCAGGCAGAGTCTCAGAATAGAGACATAAACCCACCCCTAACCAGTGCTGCTCTCACCCAGGATCTTGCTGATGGAGGAGTTGTGCATGTCAGGGAAAGCTTGCAGGATCCTCCTGCGCTCGTCCTTGGCCCACACCATAAAGGCATTCATGGGTCTCTTTATGTGGCCTGAGGAGGGAGGCGGCCGTGCCTCAGCGTAGCCGCCTGGGACCGAAACATTCAGGGTACCTACAGTAAATAAGGGTACAGGCTGGCTTGTAAATATGTTACAAATATATAGAGGAATAGCTATTTGTTTCTTGCTGTAAGTGGTGCATGTCTGAATATTAACCTTTTTTTCTTGCAACACTAAAATTGGTGAAAGTTTCTCTTCACCCTCAAACATCCAATTTCATATGATTCACATTCTCCATCCTGACGTTTAAACCAAAGACAGGAGTTACTAAGCTTTACAAAGATAAGGTTATTACTTTGATGAAGCTAAATCTGAAGGTTGGATATTGTATTTTCATCTTTAAATGTCTGTGCCATATTCTGATGGCACATTAATAAAGCACGTTTGGAAGAAAACATTTCTGCTAACCGTGCTATTTCCCAGAAACAAACAACATTAAACAGGCTCTCCTGATTTAGCCAAGTGGTTGCTTTACCAAGATCAACATCTGAGTGACAGTAATGCCTTTGATTAGCATTTTTCCTATATGGAAGTAAGCTAATATTAGCTTGCATACGTGAGCTTTCCTGGTTGCTGCTAGGCAATGCAGATGAGCATTTAGCTAGCTAGATTTTGACAGTGGTGCTTAGGGGAGCGATAAAACAGGTAATTTAATGGGCAGTATTGCAGACTATTAGCTTGGACAAAAGGGAGCCAGAATGGCTGGTATATAATGATGTGCTACGTGACCGCTAGCGACACAGCTATGTTAGCATAATATAAACAAGCTAACTTTTTTTCCACTCGATAAAAGTTAACGTGAGTGTTCTCATGTACTGCTGCATGGGCTGGGCTGTAGTTACATCCTAAGGTTTTAAAAACTGAGCTTAAATAAATGATTAGCGGTAATAAAAGCTAATAAAAGGGAGGTCAACAGTGATCACTGACTGTTTTAGGAATTTTTTGAGATTAAATATAAGAAAATACAAAACATTAAACATGTTAACAACAGAAAAGCCATATTAAACGCAGACTACTTTATTCCCGGAAGCAGGATTCGTCACGTCATCACTTAATGACCGGATAGGCATATGCCTAACATGTGGAAGGTTCCTGATTAGAGTTCAGAAGGAGACATTAATCTTTTAGAGTTTGCGTCAGGGGTTACATTGGTGCAAAAATCTGCCAAATCTAATATCTCTTGTGGTGACTCCTTGCAAATAAGCACAAGGTGCCTTGAGATGTTTTGGTGCTATGTAAAAAACCTGAATTGACTTCAAAAAACGTCTTCAGTGTTCACTTTGTGGCTTCTCTAGCTTTCTCATGCCTGCTAGCAATCTGTTAAATGGTAAATGGACTACTACTACTACTACTACTACTACTACTTCTCTACTACTCTACTTAAGCACTCAAACCACTTTATACAACATACCTCATTCACACATTCATACACATTTATTTCTATGCTTTTTCAACTTAAACACTTTCTATGTAGCATTCACACACTTTCACACGCTGATGAACGCATCAAAAAGCAACTTAGGGTCCAGTGTCTTGCAGACTGGAGCAAAACTCCAACTTTCTGATTAGCAAATGACCTATTTTACCGTCCGAGCTAAAGCCACCCCAATCTAATCTAGGTCAATCTAAACAGGTTATACTGCATGCTACTTCCATGGAGAAAAAAAAATGCTAATTTTAATAAAATTATATGATTCAATCAATTAAAATAAACTATTTGAATATAATGATAAAGATAAATGGATGGGTACCATAATAATAGGATAAGCTATCAGCGCAGCCTAACAAATGTTGGTCTCATTACAACAACAACTTGGCAAAACACAGATAGGCATTAAACAGGCTTTTTCAGGGATGCCTACCCTCAGAATCACTGCTGAGGTGGTCCTCAGTGGACGGCAGGCCATGTCTGTCCTCACCTCTCTCACTCTGAGACATCCTCTCATTGCGAGGAGAAACCTTAAAATCCTGCAAGACATTAAAAGAACAAAGACATATGAACTCAGAAATGGTCTAAAGTCACACAAATATTCACACACCAGCACAAAGAGACGATTTAAATTTGCACTGCAGTTAAAAAAAAAAGGTGACCTAATGTCGAAGAGGAGTGTTCATGGCGCACGTGTTACACTGGAGTGCTATTTAAGGTAAAGACATGGCACGCTCGCCATATCAGCTGCTGCTTAAATGCAGAGCTGTAAATGCAAAGACAGGAAATGACAACGCTATGGAGGAGGAAGAATGGTGTTTATTGTTGGAGGGAGGAAAGGTAAAGAAGACAAGGCAGGGACGGGAATGTGGCAACTCTGAATTTGCAAAACTACCACACCATCAGCGTATTATCTGTCGACCATTCCCCGTGCTGTAAAACGCTATTCATCCACATGCAGCGGTGTGAAGCGCAATACCAAAATAGGTCAGTCAACAGTATTGGTGTTAACACAGCCGCCAAGGCGAGATGGAGCAGGATAATGGAGGAGAGGAGGAGGAGGAGGAGAAGGAGGAGAGCCACAGATTACAGTATTACTGTGGACAAAGAGACAGGGCAGGTGGCTCAGTCAATGCCACACTGAGGCCTTTGTGGTATTGTAAGGCTGCAACAGCTGTTGCTTAGGACGAAGCAGAGACCAAAGCCACCTTAAAGAACAAAAACGTAAGAACCCAATAGAAGACCATTTTCACAAGAAGCAAAACAAAATAAACAGCAGGTTCTCGAACAAAATATGCAATTTTGAGATAGTCTAGTAGCACTTACAAACAGCAGTTTGCTCAGCTGACTTACTAAGCTGTAATAATGTGCTTCTGCATGTGGGTGCGGATCTGTTGGATACTCAGGAGGAGCGCAGCACCATGTAACCCTAAACCAACCTCTAAATGTCGACCAGAGAAAGAGCAATACACCGTTTACATCAGGAGTCCATAGATTTATTTTAATACAGCTAACGTAAACTGAGTGGTGTGATTAAGCACACAAACACAGTCAGTTCTGTACAACATTATGTGAAGCTGTGCTGGTTTAATTTCATAGATTTTAAATAAAAGATGGACGTCGGGTTGTGGAACTGGATAAATATATCAGCTACTTGTAACGAACAAAGAGAGGGACACACAGGTCTAAAGACCGATTGGCAACCTCCTGGCAACTTCCAGCAACCAGTGGTTATGAGGTGATCGCCAACCTGCCTCGACTCAGGCCTTAGGCAGGTGTCTGCCTTCTTAAAAAACTTCTCTCAATAATAAATAATTAATGAACTTGTAATTTACAAAATAAACATCTAATAAATAAAACTAGGGTCTGAAATCACAAATTCTGAAGGAAAATATTTCCTAACGCTTCAGTCTGACTGGCTTATAAGTGTGGATTAAAAAGAATATATATATATCCAATATATGCTAACCTTTCAGCAACATTCGCATTCAGAAGTTGGTGGAGACATACAGAACTAAAAGATAGCTAATATTTAGATTTCTATGACTATGACTATGGTTCTGTGGCAACACTGGAAAAAAACAACACTATGACAAAAGAATATGTGGAAGGATATCACCAAAGCAACATGAATCTGCGACATGTTTTTACTGCCCCCGTGTGGCCAGAACGGGGGCAGGTCTATGATCTTGACCAGCGGTTCCCAACCTTTTTTGCGCCATGGACCGGTTTATGTCCTGCAATATTTTCACGCACCGGCCTTTAAGGTATTGCGGATAAATACAACAAAATAAAACCAGTACCAGTACAAAAAAAGACGATTTATTCATAACACATGGGGAAAAACCGAGGGAGTTAACGATAAAAACAATAAAAAAAACCAACAAAAAACGATAAAAACCCTGAAAACCATAAATTTCACACCCGAGCCTCAACCCGGGCCCGGTACCAAACGACTCACGGACCGGTCCGTGGCCCGGGGACCGCTGATCTAGACTTCACAAAAGCAACCCACCTATAGGAAAACACTGGGATGGAAGGACTTTTGTAGCTAGCTAGCAGAGACAAATTTAAAAAATAATATTGAGTTGGCTGCCCAGTAAATTCATATGGTCTCGGACAGACGAAAAAATGAAAACAAATTGCAAAATATACTTGGGTGGCCTTCAGGATACCTGGGTGGGCCCTAAGTAAAGTCTATGTGTGGGAAACACAGTAAAGTGATGTGAAGAATTCTTGAGGTAAGAGACTGAGATAATGCTACGACACAAAACACGTATTAAGTTTCTTTGTGTGTGTTTTGTGCATTTGTAGGCTATGTGCCACAGTGTTACTAGAGATAGCCTACAGTGAAACCTAACCTAAAAATGGCACAGTATGTACAATGGCAATTTCCAGAACGAAGTCCGTGTCTTAACCCTTTAAGACCTACCATAGAACCACGTCCGCCAGAGCTTATATTATATTTTCACATGCTGTAGTGCCATTTTTGGGAGCATTTCAAGTTGATATACATCAATACAACCATTATAGCCCAAATTTTAATAATATGTCTGCATTAAGATAGTAGTAATTACATAAATTAATAAACTACAAAAAAATTGAAAATCTTTTTTGCTTTTTTAACATATATTTCTAGTTAGAGAAAATTAAGAGGCTTATCCCTCAAAACTGTAAATACAAAAAAGTTGCACAAAATAGTTTCCCACCACAGGAAATTTATTTTGAGTGTCTTCATAGTTTTATTTTTGAAATACACCAATTTTTATATAATGCAGGAAAAACGAAAATAAATATTATAGTGCGAATTTGCCAAAAAAACAGCATGTGCATCAAAATAAACTATTTCCAGCAGTGCAATATGAGTCCTAAGCATCCCAGAAACGACACAGAAGGTCATAAAGTCAAAGATAACTTTTAAAAACACCAGTATAGGCTCGTGAGGCCCTGATGGTAAAAAACTACATTTCCGCAAAATGCCGTCACTTGCGGTTTCGGGCAGGACATGGCGGACATGTGATAGTTCGCGCTGATGGACGTAGGAAGTGTTATGAACAGCTGATTGGTTCGGCAAAGCGTGTTTCTGGAATATTGTGTTTTTGTTGCTACAAGTGCTTTTTATGCAGTTTTTGCAAAAATATACGTGGAAGGAAACTGACCTAGGACAAGCTGATGGCATAAGATGTAAGTACAACTCCTCCGGTTTCATATGCAAAAAAAATTATTGCGCTAGCTTATGTGGTTGCAGTGCTACCCGGATTTTTAAAAAGTTACGCAAAACAGAGCGTGCCAGCTCCGACCGGCTTTAAATGGTTAAAGTGGCTCGAACACACCGCTCTAACTGGAGTTTAAACATTAGCTCACCACCTTTCCGCCAACTTCTCTCTCCCGGTCCCTCTCCCGCCCTGCACTGCCGTGGCTCCTCAGGAGCTGCTGGGCATCGTGGATAGCCTGGGTGACCACGTCGCCGTCTCCCAGGAAACCTGCAGACAAAAACAAAGCACGAAGAGGAGAGCACAAAATGAGGACCAAGATAATTATGATGATGAAGGAAAAGAAAATGAGACAGAGGAAGGTAAAGTGTCCGTTCTCATCAGAAGACCTCCTCTACATCACGGATCTTATGAACAGTCCCCTACAGATGATGATTAGTTTCATATCCTGCTGCTGGAAATGACAGAAAGTTGAAGAATGCAATCATTCTCTTGTGGAAAAAGACGACTGCACAAAGTTTTAATTCATTTCAGCCACTTGCTCACTATTTACTGTATTTTATACAAAATAGAGAATAGCTGTTTATGAGTATCTGAGCGTCTTTTATTAATGCTTAGTTTGTCGTACTAAAGTCAAAAAGGTTATGTTGTGCACAGTCTCCTTAAATCAACAGTGAATAGATCTACAGGAAATATGATGTGCTGCAGGTTAATGTCAAATGCTTTAATGCTTTACCATGCAAAGCAGTGTGACTGTGTGCAACTCACTGAGCGCAGATCGTGGTGGACTGTGGGAGATCTCTCTCTGGAGATCTCTGGGTCTGTATGCGCCCTGCAGCGCCAGTGATCCCAGCTCCAGGCTCTGTGGACTGGGTGTCTTCCCCAGCTCCAAACCCTTGGGCTTGGAGGTCAGGTTCAAGGGCTGACTTGATTCCTAAACACACAGCAAGAGCAGATGAGCAGGGGTGGGGCTACTTCGACATATTCAGGTGTAACCGCAAAGGCCAAGGGTGTGCGTGTATTCCAGCTATGCACGGCACATTTGGCATGTCGGAGCAGATCTGTCACACCTTTGTAGTATTTTTTTTTGTCTTTTGTCTTCAAGTTATCCTCCTCTTCTCTTCCCTTTTGTTTGTTTAAGCTATGTTGATCTATCCCTGCTTGAGAACCTGCCGTGCAAACACAAGTCGCACTACATTTACACACACACACACACACACACAAGCACACACGCACGTCGAGAAAACACACACCTATGGCCACACACATTAAACCTTCAACAGAGGGTGTGGTGTATTCCTAAAGCTTTTCAGCCTCCCAAATACCAGAAAAGGATATTATTTGTTCGCTCCAGAGGACTTCACTTTCTTTAAGCTTCCTAAAACCACACACATGCAGAAGGTACGCACACCATACAGCAAGCAAACACAGCCATAATTCCCTGACTTCTCAGTAATGTGCTCATATAAAGAAGTGAGTTGGACAAGGTATGCACGATAAAGTGATACTGTACCTGTCGGAGGGAACCACTGCTTCTCTTCACGGGGGTGGGGTGAGTGTTTGACAGTAGCTGCATGGAGTAGTCCATAGCTGTGAAAGGTTAAAATTAAAAATAAATAAATGACCATTCTTAATGCATCGATTTAAGGGTTAAGAACGAACAGCAGTTTTAGACAGAACCAAGTTTAAAAGTAAAACTATTAGCATTACTATTATCATTAGCCTGTTAAAATTGTTTAGTTACCATCCTAACGGACCAAGCAACATGCTAGCATTTTATGGGTAAAATTAGCTTCACTGTAAAGCCTGCTGCAGACACCGACAGCTGGAGCCACAACAGCCAAGCAGCGTTCCATGGCTGGGACTCATGCTCAGCTGGTGTATTGCACTGTAAAGGCTTAGTGGTAAAATCCATGCAGTCATCAAAACATATGCACGGACCCTCGCCCTTGATGACCAAATTTATGTCACGTGGACCCATCGGACCCAAGCGGACCACAGCAGACGTGGAGAGTATACTCAGAGCTTAAGAAAAAAGGACATTAGCCTAATTTTGTTCAGCTCAGACACATGATCAATAGCCAGTGTTGGGGAGTAACGGAATACATGTACCGCCGTTACATATTTAAAATACAAAATATGAGTAACTGTATTC